TAGAATATAGAATATTTGCATATAGTGTTTACATAAAGCATGGTGCTTATTTCCCAGGGTGGGAACGGGAGAGCTAGTAACGTACTGAGAGCTCCTCGGTCCCGGGTGCTTTTCGTACGGCACCGACTCTTCCACAGCCCAAGGACCCACCTCGTGCTCGATCTGCACCTAGAGAAACTGAGCCCCAGGGCGGTGACTTGCCCAAAGTTACACAGTACCGTGTAAAGTTTCCTCATCTCTTTACATCCTTCCCTCCTGCAACTTCAGAGGACGGGCAGCCTTAGTATAAGAGAAATGCGTGTAATAACGTTAGAGGAGTGGGTTTAAACCAGCAGTTTTTACCCATAGCACTCTGTAAAGTGTGAGTTTTGGATGAGGTGGCCTCTAAGACCCATTTCACTTTTAAATCCAAAATTTGAGTTACTTATTTAAACAGCATTTACCAAAATTTATTTTGAAGCACACGCACCCAAGAAATGTTCCTGGAAAAGCACATTCCATAGTCAAATATTTCTGGAAATTGTTATAATTGTTATTAATCATATTCCCAATGAAAGACTTACAATGCACATTACGATATCAAAGGATCTGATAAGTCCTGCAATAAAAGCCTGCATAACCATTTAATCTATTTCCTGGGCACATTGGATTCTCGACCCTTTTTTCTTCCCATTTAACATTTATTAACACTTGGTGAAACTACTTTGCTATTTAACATGCTTTGGAAACAGTAGGATAATTGTAAAGTTCATGAATCCTCACTTCCTCCATTTCTTGCCTTCCATCCTTCCCTCAGAGGGTAGAAAAGCAGTGGGCCCTGGGAAGGGTCATGGGCAGGGAGTGGGAGTGGGAGGAGAGGGTCCACTTAAGGCTAACCAGGGCTCTTGTCTAGCTTCTGTTTAGAAGAACCAGCAGAACAAACCTACTCTTACAGCAGTTTCTGAAACTTTGATAAACAAGAAATATTTTGACACTCTCTCTATATTTGTATATAAACCCATTTATACATGAAGACAAATGTGATTGCGCTTCTGTTTTGATCAGGCCTTTTAAGGAATCTTCCTCCTTGTCCTTTTTAAAAGCCCATATAAAACAACATGCTCACAGTGCCTGTCATTTATGGAAATTATTCCCTCAACGTCGCCTAGTTAGTTCTTATGTAGCCTTTATATCACAGCTGAAATGTCACTTCCTCCAGGATGGCTTTCCTGACTGCAGTCTGATCTGGACTGCTTCTTCTGCTTCCACGACAACCTGGGGTACTCCATGAGATCAGTTATCAGGGCTGATAAGTATATATTTAAGTGATTCTTTTCTTAATGTCTGCTTCCCCATGAGACTGTAAACCTCTCGAGGACAAAGGGCCATGCCCGTCTTACTCATACTGCACACGCAACACCCGGCACAACTGGTAAATAATAGGACCTAAAAAACATTTGTTGGCTGAGTGAATGAATGAATGAATGAATGAATGAATTAATTAATTAATTAATTTCCATACTAAGAAGTAGGCCTTCTCTGCTTGGGCCCTACATCAATCCTGCGAGATCCTTTGCTATCAACTTTGATGTCGCTCTTCTATTTAAACTCCATCTCCCCCTTCAAGTCTGATGCATGCTCTGGAGTCTCTCATCTCCTGACCTCAGCTCCCAGCTGGCACCCTTGGTAACATCACTCAGAAACCACTAGGTAACACCCACCTATCATCGCCACCACGGCCCATTCTCCATCCAGCCCATCGGGCCTGACCCCAATCATAGATCTGGCGGACGGGAAGACCACCAAAGGGGTTTATGATTTGTTACCTATAAATAAAACCATTGACTTTTAAGCATCAAAGCTACCTTAAAGGCCATTTTCTCAACTTCATCTTTTGTCCAATGAAGAAAGTAGCAATCAGACAAGATAGGTGAATTGTCCTTGGGCAGAGAGTAGGATGAAAAGAAGCCTCTGGGTGTCCCTTCAGGAATCCGTTCTGTGTCAACATTGGTTTCAAAACGGTGTCTGCTTGTTGTTGTTTTTAAAGTGAAAATTCTGATACAGGCTTGACGTTTCAAAAGTTTCTAGATGGATTCTAACGTGCTGCTCAAAGGCTGTTAATCACACTACAAGTTCGTACTGATACTTCCTCCCATGTTTTAGATGAGGAAACTGAGCATTATAATGACCGTGAATGAGAAGTGGTGCTGCGGGGCCTGCCCGCCTCCGTCCGTTGTCCTTTGCTCTTTGAGCCCCAAGCATTGTAATCATTTCACACTCTAGCAGATCACGGGCTGCTCAAAAAGCAGAGATCTCCTATTATGTGTCTTTGGCAGCACCAGTCCTAGCTCAATATATTAGCACATAATAGGCCCTAAATAAACCTTTAAGGAATGAATAAATGATTGAGAAAATGATTAAATAATTAAAAGCTTGAAGCAGCAGTTAGCTCAGCATTATTTCTGTGAAAGATGGGTAGGGCATAGAAGGGAAAGCTATACAATTATTTAAAAAATGCATAGAAGCTAAAGAGAAACATTTACCTCCTTAAGTTGAATGGACTTACAGAGAATAATTTGTTTTATTGCAATAGCTTAGATGTAAAAATCCGGATATGCCTTACTGAAACCACCTGGATATGAGTATAATTGCAGTGATATCTTACTGTCCAAATCTGAATCCAGAGATGGTAGGGGAAGGAAGGTAGCAACCACTGAGGGACACACGTTCCCTTCTTACCATTAAATTCAATATAACCAACACACACGCGCATGTATGTACGTATGGATAGTATAGGCTAAATGATCTGAGATGATTGTATAAAAGGATGGACTGTTGAGGATCTGCACATGTGAATTTGAATATATGGGAAGTGCAATTTTCAGGCTTCGGATATATATTAACCCTCCCTTAGAGGCTCTCAAGAAGTAGTTTTAATAAATGTAATATGACGAGTAATTAATGCCTTGAGTGCTTCCAAAGTACCCTCTTTGTCCATTTAAAAAATACAGCTTTAAGCCATCCTTTGTCATGACATTTGTCACTTGCTTAAACAAGCCTTTTTTTCCATTTAGATCACAGAGGTGAACCTCACCCAAGCCCCAGCATGCGAAGCCCAGCAGCTGCAGACGGAGAAGGTATCTCAGGCTAAGCTGCCTGATATATAATGCAGTAGTCCTGCCTCTCAGGATTGAGCGGAATACAGATGTAAAAGCATGGTATATGCTAGCACATCGCTTGGCACACAGTATATGCTCAAAATCCAGCGGCTCTTTATTAAAGCCGAGGGGAGGGGGTGAATCTGGGCTGCAAGTGGGAAAGGCAGGCCAGAAGAAGGGTCTGTCGATCAGATAATGTTCATTTTCTCCAGGTCTCCTGGGATTGTTTTGGTAATTACTCCAGCTTCTTCAACAGCTTGTGATTTGTCCAGGGCCAGGGAACCTGGATTTGCATTGCACGATGCATAATTCATATGGCAGGGACAGCAATTATGAGCTAATTGAGGGGTGTAATGTTTAAAGAAAGGATCCATTATGAGGAACATAAGGGATGTTGGGAGGAAGAAGCTCGAGTCTGTGGAGGCTCGTCCTTTCTAACTCAGCTTTCTTTAAGATGACTCCAACGTCTCCTGAAGGGCACGGAAGTTCTCTCCTACAAGGGGTCCTGGGGGTTGGGGGCAGGAGCTGCTTCTCCTGCAGGAAGAGGGCTCAGGGTGGGTTAGGGTCAGCTCCTTTTTACTCATGCTCTTGTGTGGTTAACCTTCCAGGGCACCTTACCATGTTGACACAGTTACCTGGGTTAATATGATTAGAGGGGTACACTGTTACCATAACCAGAATTTCTGAATCAAAAGTCAAGCCCACCTCCTGGGGGTGGGGAAGAGACCATCTGGGAAATATACTTTGGTGAAGAATTATTGGAATTTTCAATGTGTAATCATGCTTTGGTGGGATTATAGGACAGCCTAGTTTACTGGAAAATCCAGAAGTTGGGCTATCAAATTATAAAGAGCTCTGAGCTGGTAGCAATAAACCTTGAGTCTGTCTGTGACTACATTACCCTCTTGCTGAAAGGCCCTTGGAACATCACCACTGCTCTTTGGGCCTCAGTTTCTCCATCTGTACAATGGGGGAACTGGGTAAGATGGACTTCTGAGACCCTTCCAATTCTAATGCACCATGTGTCACTATGCACTAACGTATTTGCATCACACTCTGTCCTTCTGACTTGAGATTCTTAAACTGTCTTGACAGATCAGCCTTTGTTCTCTGGGGACCAACTTTATGTGCCTTTAAACTTAGAGAATGCCCATTGTGTGACTGTCACATGCAATATAAAACTTTTTTCTTAATTGGCTGTGAGGAGATTAAGAAATAAATCACTTTTCCATTGGCTTCTATTACAAAGTTAGATGTATATCTCAAAATACTAAATCAAAGATATTTTGTAAAGGAAAAGTTTGTGCCAGCATCTGCTCCCTCTGGTGTGCAGGAGGGTGTGGTAGTTGAGTCACAATGTGCTGTGTATGCTTTTTGATCTTTTCAGCACTCCACAGACCTTCCCATGTCTCTTGTTTCAGGATTATTCCATAATTGACTTCCCCCCCCCTTTTTTGTTAATCGTCACCCGAAGATATTTTTTCCATTGATTTTTTTGAGAGAATGGAAGGGAGGAAAGGAGGAGAAGGAAAGAGAGAGAGAAACATCAAGGGGAGAGAGACATGGAGCAGTTGCCTTCTGCACGTGCCCTGACTGTGGCCAGGGACTGAACCTGTACCCCAGGTGCACCGCCTTGACCTGGAATTGAACCCGAGGCCCTTCAGTGTGCGGGTCAGCACTCTGACCACTGAGCCACACTGCCAGGGCCATAATTGACCTTTGAGCCTGTACTTTTCTCTTCATCTTCAGCCAAGAATTTTCACATAAACATTTACTACCATAGGCAGCGCTTCCTAAACCAGCGCCGGCTCTAATTCCCACGTCTGCTTGGGCTGGGCTGCAACGTCACAGCTACCAGTGGAGGCTGCTTTCTAATCCGCTGTTCACACACCCAAAGCTTCTAAATCACAGAATACTGGACCTAGGGGAGGTCTTAGGGTCCATTTTGTCCATATAAGCATCACACATAGTTTTCTGCTTTATCACATCTGGAAATTCGACATTCTGTAGAAGCAATCTGCTTAAAGTGAAGAATGGCCGTCGCCGACTCCCACGCAGCTGGCTGGCACAGGGTCTCTGCTTTTAGACGGAGCCCTCGGCCAGTTTGCGTGCCTTTTGAATAACGAGGAGATTTAACGTCTTCAAGGTGGAGCCTGTGTTATGCTCTGCCTGCGGTGCTAATGCAGCTGTTTACAGGAGAAGACGAAGCGGATTTTTCACCTGCAAGGCCGTCGGGTCTGTCTGAGCCCTCAAACCAGCTCTGGCCCTTAGTTCAGAGACTGTCAAATGGTTCTGGCCAAAGTCACTGATCACCTGTGGGCTGAGGATTTCCTTCTTTTCTTCTTTTTTTCTTCAGATAGCTTTCCAACAACCTAAGAAATTCTTTCCCAGACCTCAAGAGAATGAGAGAGATGATCTTTGTGTGTCTACTTGCAAAGTCTTGTTTTGGGAGAGTCAGGGTCGCAGTCAGAACACACCCAGACAAAGGCAATTCACACTTGCCCTGAAGAGCCGGCAGCAGGAAGCACACAGTTGACTTTTCATAGCCTTTTAAAAACTGTAACCGTAGGCGAAGGCTCCAGAAGACACGCTCGTTCCCCTAATGCATCTTGTTCCACTTGTGGGACGCAACAGGAGCAGCGCTCAGGAACACCCCACGTTCAATCTTTATTTTCGGGTCTTCCAAAGCAAGACGTCGCCGTAAAACAAAATTGCTGTGCTGCTCCAAGGGTTAATTAGACATGGCCCAGAAAAAGCGATTTCTCTCTCCCTGCCTTGAATTTTGGGCTTTCCATTCTGAGTAACTGTTGACTTCTGCCAAATGGAGTAAGATAAATGCGAGCTCCTAAATCGAACTCCCCTGGTCCTGTTTCCAGCTGCTGTTTTTCAGTTTTCCAAAAAAGAGAAAGCTCTTTGGACCTGCCTTTGGCAAACCTGGAACTTGACTCTCTTCCCTTCTGGTTTGGGGTCCAGGCATCTTTGGGAAGGAAATCCAGGCCTGTCGGGATGAACTTCTCCTGAAGACATGAAGGTAATTTCCATCTTTTCCCCTTTTTTTTTTAAAGGTTACAAGTAATTCATAATCCACCAGCTTGAGCAAACACTTTAAATTATTCTCTTAAATGAAATTCAACTGCTGTCATGTTTCTCAGCTACTTGGTTTTCCAAGATCCCTCTTGGTTTCCTCATAAAATACCCTCTTCTTTGCTATCTCACAAATGTTGAAGTGTCAGCAAACTTCTGAGCTCTGTGTTAGCTGTGCCATGGAGGGATGTCTTTAAAAGCCTTTATTCGTTTCACTTATTGAAGCATTTGCTTAACTTGCATTGAGCCTCAGCTACGTATGGGGCATGCAACGAAGAGGAGCTAGTTCTAATGGTCTCCCTGGCGGTAAACGCAGAGAGACTGAGTAGGTCCCCTTGCATGGGCCACCCATTAGCAACCGTCTTTGGGATTCAGATCATTGTTTTCAGCTTCGGAAATACAGGGGACTTCTCAACAAGCTGCTAGAAGGGTCTCTTTAGGAAAACAGTCTGAACATGGACAGAGGAGATGGATCCGTGTGGCCTTTGTAAATTGTTTCACAGGTTTTCCTAAAACCCTAGAAATATGTTATACCTTACAAAATAAGCCATTTAGTACTTTGTGGTTTAAAAAGTACTTCCACATATACTTGAGCGTCATAGCAAGCTTGTCAGCTATTATTAGCCCTCTTCTCATCTTCATAGGGCTTATAAGCACCTTGACCAAGGTCAGACAGGGAGCGAGGTCAGTCATGGAGCTGGGACCAAAACCTGAGTCTCTTCCCACCTAACCCATGCAGCGTCTCACTGCAATTCTCCAGGCTGTGCTCGCTCCCTCTCTCTCTCTCTCCCTCTCTCTCTCTCACATACAAACACACACACACACACACACACATCTTCCCTTTGCCTCCCTCCCTCCAGCTCCTGGCAACCACCTATCTACTTTCTGTCTCTGTGAATGTGACTACTCTAGGTACCTTGTATAAGTGAAGTCATATAGGATTCATCTTTTTGTGTCTGGCTTATTTCACGTAGCATAGTGTCCTTAAGTTCATGCATGTTGTAGCCTGTGTCAGACTTTTCTTTCTTTTTAAGGCTGAATACTGTTCTGTAGTATGTATAGAGCAGGTTGTGTCTATCCACCATCCACCAGTGGACACTTGAGTTCCTTCCACCCTTTGGCTACTGTGAGTAATGCTGCTGTGAACACGGGTGCACAAACGTCTCTTCAAGATCTGCTTTTAATTCTTTGGGGTCTATACCCAGATGTGGAATTGCTAGATCATACGATAGCTCTATTTTTAATTACTTGAGGAACCACATACTGTTTTCCATGGCAGCTGCACCAGTGGGCTCCAATTCGCCATGTCCTTGCCAACATTGTTACTTTCCGTGTCCGTTGTTTGTTTGTTTTCATAGTGCCCATCCTGTGGATGTGAGGTGGCATCTCATTGTGGTTTAGATTTGCATTTCCCTAATGATTAGTGATGTTGGGCATCCAAGTCACTCTCTGAGAGACACTATTCCCATCTCCCCAGGTCCTAGACTGAGACTCAGAGGGGTGAGTAGGTGATACAGGAGTATAGGTAGGACTTGAGCCCCCCCTTTTTTTACTCCTAATTTAATGCTGGGTCCACTGCAATGCTATTTCTCAAACTGGGTTTCTCAGCTTCATACTTTGGGATTGAGTTTTTGATGCAAATGCTTTCATTTCTTTTAGAACCTGGAACAAGTGACCATGAGCTTATCCAGATCACGGAAGCTGCTGGTCCTCGAACGTGGCTCTGTAGCAGCGGCATGAGCATCGTCTGGGCGCAGGTTAGGAATGCTAACACTGAGTTACAAACTCGGGCTGGGACCCAGTGATCTGGATTTCAGCAAGTTCTCAGTGTGGTTCCTATGCCCGCTCACATTCGAGAGCTTGACCTGGGCTCTGAGGTTTAACCTGAGCATTAGGATTTTTAAAGTCTCTCCCAGCAGCTCTGACGTGCAGCAAAGGCTGGGAAACACAAGTGCAGAGAACGGCCTGACACCAAGGTGCCCCCTACATTTTCAGATTTTGTGAATGTGTTACAATCACGAGGCCAGCAGATTAACAGACTAATGAGGAAGATCAGGGGCAGGCCTGGTGACACTTCCCCCACTGGGAGAGGGCCAATGGCCCCACGGCCGCGCTGTGTGAACGGACCCTGCAGAGGTTCTAGTGTAGAGAAGTGGTGGGGATTTGCCTCATCTCATGTCATGCAACAACAGGGACATGACACTCCCAGGATTTGCTGCATCAGGCGTCACCATCTGCAGGTCTCAGATGCGAATTCTGGTACAGCAAGGACAGCATGGTCTTTCACACTAAATTGATGTTGTTAATTCACTTTTGCTGGTTTTATAGCCTATTTCTTCATCTGAAACATTCAAATACAATAATTTAAGCCAATATTGGGGGCCTGGGGGAATTTGCTTTTGTCAGGGGTCCTAGGCTGTTCTAAATTTGGGGAGTTATAACATTTGCCTTCTGTTGAAGCTGGTTTGTGTGCTCAGACTTGGGTGCAGAGACCCTCTTGTTAGGTGAGGGTTTGAGGGTCCCCCATCGGGATGGGGTCCCAGCAGGCTCAAGGCAAAGCGGTCCTTTTGGGGGTGCCTGCCTGACTTGGGCCTGCCCTCTGTCCACTGAGTTGAAGCAGAAGTTATCTTTGAAGATTTCCAGGCAGTAATTAACTGTAAGTTCAGGGGTAGGAAATTTGGTCAGCTTCTCCATGGTACAAAATTGGCCTCCCCTATCTGTCTTGGTGGCCAACTCAGTTATCGGGCTCTTTCCTGGAAGCATTGTTTCCCATTTCAATATAATTGCCTCAAAATAATGTGAAGAGATCAATTGCCACTTGCCTGCTATAATTTTCTGTCACTGAAAAAAATGTAATGTGGGGAGGAAAGCAAAATATGGGATGGCTTGTTAGCCACGATGGAGGAAGGGGGATGCAGCTGCTTCTTCCTTAGGGGGGTTACCTGAGAGTGGGTGACTTGCTTGTCCCCATCTCTGCACCTTTTGTTGCTGTGGTTCTCCCTGCCTTGAACCTCCCTGGGCCTTCTCTCCCTAACCAACCCCTCCCCATCCTTCCACAACCAGCTCTGATCCCAGGCCCAGGAGATCACAGAAGCCTCTCCTTCTCAGCTGGCTGGTTGATCCAGTACTTAGTGCATTTATTCAGCAAACACTGATTGAGCACCTAAGTACATGTCGGAAGGCTTTGGGCTGCAAGGAACCAAAACCCTCACTTACAGACATTTAAACAAATCGCTGTTAATTTTCCTTATATAACAAAAAGGTGCCTCTGAACAGGTTTAGCGCCATCCTCTCAGGAACAATCTTGGCCTTTCCAGCATGTTTGTCACTCTTGGTTATCAGATGGCCAACCCAGCCTCAGGTATTCAGTCAGCACTCGAAGCTGCAGGAGGGGAAGGTAGAGGCCTCTTCCATGAAGGTCCTTTAGATTTGGGAAGCCAATCTTTCCCTAAACATCTGGTAGACTTTAAAAACCAGCTTCATTGATGTGTGACTGACAGATAATAAACTGCACATATGTAAAGAGATATAATCAACATATAACATTATATTGGTTTTAGGTGTACAGCATGATTTGATATGTGTATATATTTCAAAATTATTACTACAAGTTAACACCCATCACCATACACAGTTACGCTATTTTTTCTTGTGATAAAAACATTTAAAATCTACTTTCTTAGCAACTTTCAAATATGCAACACAGTGTTGTTAACTGTGATCACTTCTGGTACATGTACACATACGAAACCATCACCACAGTCAAGACTAGGAATGTCTCATTTACTCCACAAAACCTTCTATAAAAGCCAACTGACCACCCTGGAGATTTTTTAATTTTTTATTTGTCTCATTGGCCAGAACTCAATCCTGTGACCTCTCCTAACTGCCAGGTGCTGGGAAAGTCACCACTTAGATCTCCAGCAGACAAGGGACAAGGAGAATTAAGCATGACTGTTGGGATGCCCAACCTACGGCCCCAGAACTGGGGAAAGAAGAGCGAGTGGGGCAGCCCAGCCCCTCTGGCCATGATCTGGTGCATCGGCGTTCGGGCGCTGTCAGCAAACGGGCAGGCTGCTCGGCTACTCTCTCCCTGAACTTACACTGACACGAACAAGCTCTCTCCCCTGCCTTAGCTGCCGTGAAGCTAAGATGAAACTAAATCAACATTTCTTGTGCACCTCCTGTGTGCTACGTGCTGGGTGCCTCCTGCATATCCCATCCCTCCATGTGAATATGGCATGTGCATGTGTCTATGGTATGGCATTCTCTCACCTTTCCCAATGTGGAAGCTGAGACCTGGAGGGGTAAGTGGCTCGCCTATGTTGGCGCAGCTTGTATGTCAGCTAGCCAGGACCCAAGGCCAGCCTGAGACCATTGCCTGTCCCCTTTCTTTCAGAAGAAATCTCTGCACCACGCATGGAATAATGTCTAGGATGTTGATTCATGCTCTGACTCCCCTGGGCTCAGAGAGGTGAGGTGAGCTGCCCAAAGTCTCAGCTAGAGATCTGCGAATCTTGGACTAAAATCTTCATCCGCAGGTTTCCTGATCATTCCAACTGGGCCTAGGCCAGGTGGCTCTTGAGGGTGGGATGGGGGCAAAAGAAAGAGAAGTAGCGGGAAATCCTGGGGAAGGAGGACTCCAATAGTCAGCAGTGGAGCAATGAAGTGACTGCAGGACCTGGGGCCCCTTCAGCAGGCTGACCCGGCAGTGCCTCCCTCACTCTAACTCAGGGGTCTGACCCCAGAGCCTCCCTCACTCCAAGCCAGTGCCTCTCAGTAGTCCCTTAGTGCTGAGGTGGTTCCTGACACTGCTTCTGCAGGCAGGGTGGCAGTGCAGAGGTTAGAAAGGGGAGTGGATTTCCTGAATTGAAATCCTGACTAGCTGTGCGACCTTGAGCAAGACATTAGATCTCTCTGTGCCCACTTTCTCCGTTCATGAAATTGGGACAATGGTCCCGTTTTCTCCCGGGTCTGCTGCCTCATTGGAGGTAGTAATGTGTTCTTGGTGTGTGGCTCACCGTCATCACAGGTGAGCCATTGCAGGAACCTGGAGAGTGAGAACTCCGCAGGTGAGCCGAGAGCAGTTCATTCACTGCTGGACCTCGCTGGGGATAAGGCACCTCTCACCTCTGCGGGAGGCCAGGCCCACGCATCCGGGTGCCCTCACGTGGCTCTCCCAGATTCTCCCCATCTTGCTGCTGCAAAACCCTGTTTTCAGTACCTGCCCAGAGAGTCCTGTCCCACCTAGGTCTTCTGGTCATGTCACAATCAGCCGGCATCCTGGCACCCACTTGCTTTGGCCCAAGCCTGGGGACAGTGGCCTTGGCTCTGCATCCCATGAGCTTTGGGGCAGGGGCTTATGGCAGTGAGTATGCCTACCTGTCTACTGGGGTCTTTGTCAGAGTCCAGGGCTCTCAGAGAAGACAAAGTCCTAGAGGGAGGCAATAGTACTCTTATTTAACTGTTCTTGGAGGCAAGAAATTGTTTGTGATGGGAGCAGTCAAGATATCTCAGTGGGGAAAACCTTCCAGATGAGCAAGTCCTGAACTCCCCACAAACATACAGAATGGTGGTTCCATAGAACAAGACCAGGTGCTGAGAGAGACAGAGAAGCGGTTTCAAAGGCAAGATCACTTTGAACAGGTTGCAGGCTGTGCTGACACGCCTGTGAATTTTCAACACTGTGGATGGAGGTGGGGTGCTGTAAGATGCTGCAGCTCCTTTAGGGGGCCGTCTCCACAGAACAGACTTTGGGGGACACTGATCCATCAGCCGCGGGTCATCAGCCGGCTGGTTGCTGGGCGAGACTAATCAGGGCATGCTGGTTCTCTGCCTCGTCTTCCCCTCCGGATAATGGGGGTGGTCTTCGTGGTGGTCGAATTGCGCCCAGGGGCCTGGAGCGGAGCCCTTAATGAGGGCTGCCTGGTGATGAAAGGCCCCGTTAAGCTGCAGCCACCATTACCGCGCTGTGGAATAAATGTGGCCGGCCTAGGAGACGCGCACGAATAAATCTGAATAGCAAGACACGAACGCGGCCCTTAACTCTGACGAGCAAATAGAGTTTAATAAAGAGGTAAACTGAGACCGCTTTTATTTATTGCCGTGTAAATGTATTTAAAAAGGTATTGGCTCTCTGCAGCTGCAGAGGCCAGCTCCTCGGCAGCGGCGCTTTAATGCCCGCGCTGTTATTAGAGCCGTAATGAATGAGCCGCTGTGAGTGCGCTCTTCAGAAGGACTGCAGAGGTACAAGATTAATGAGACGAGAGCATTGAAAGGTGCAGACGGCCCCTGTTTCCCAGCCGCGTGCGATGTCTGCCGCAGCACCTCTGGCTTTGTTTGCTCCACAGTGGCTGAGAGGCTGTGGCGCGGACACGTCCCCGGGATCGGGGCTGCAAACACATCCATCTCCCACCAGCTTTCATCCTTGGGCCCTGTGCCTTGTCTCTGCTCCGGGGTGGGGTGGG